CAAAGGGTAACCACGAAAGAGCGCTCGAGTACTACGCACGAGCCACGGGGGCTCCATACTGTAGTAATGGTTATGTATGATGAGAGAGAGAGACGACGACGGGTCGCTGTAATCCTTTTCTCCAACGCGCCGCGCACTCTCTCTCTCTCTTTTTCGCCGTTCGTTGCTCCATTCCATTCATGAATGAATGAAAAGAAGCCCGAGGGGCACCGGGTCTCTCTCTCGCGCACACACACACACACCACACGGCCGACCGACCCTTCTCGGCTCTGATACACACCCACCCACTTCGTTTTGACGCGATCATGACAGGTTGATCGGTTTCGCGCGAAAATTGGCCCACAGCCCCATCAGATTGACTTTGACAGGAGCTGCGAACTGATTTTTACAGCCAAAATATCCGATTAATTATGTTCAAAAACGGCCAATTTTCCGCAATCACTGCAATTATCAGAGTCATACAAAATTCAACTTAAATCCTCAGTAATTATGCAAATTTTTCATCTGTGGCAAAGTGATGAAAGTAAAGATTAACACTTTGAACTTAAGTAATCATTTCCGAGTAAATTAAAAGATTTCTTCAAACTTTTCCAGACTTTGCCGATTTGCTACGGATTTTGTTAAAAAAAACTCTAAAATTATTTTATTCAAATTTCTATATTTTTTTTTTATAAAAAATTTAATATTAAAATTAATAATAAGTTTCCTAAATTTATGAAATATAGTTTTTTTAAACTTATTTTACAAAAAAAGTCAAATCTTTTTTTCCTACGGATTTTGTAAAAAAAAAAAATTATTCAAAATTCTATATTTTTTTTATAAAAAATTTAATATTAAAATGAATAATAAGTTTCCTAAATTTATGATTTAACTTATTTTACGAAAAAAAAGTTAAACCTTTTTTTAAAGCTCGCGCTCGTGCTGCACCGATTTGCGGCGCCGATTTGCGGCGCCGATTTGCGGGGCCGATTTGCGGCGCCGATTTGCGGCGCCGATTGCGGGGCCGATTTGCGGGGCCGATTTGCGGGGCCGATTTGCGGGGCCGATTTGCGGGGCCGATTTGCGGCGCCGATTGCGGCGCCGATTTGCTACGAATTTTGTAAAAAAAAAAAATTTTTTTATTCAAAATTCTATATTTTTTATATAAAAAATTTAATATTAAAATGAATAATAATTTTCCTAAATTTATGAAATATAGTTTTTTTAAACTTATTTTACGAAAAAAAAGTTAAATCTTTTTTTTAAAGCTCGCGCTCGTGCTGCACCGATTTGCGGCGCCGATTTGCGGCGCCGATTGCGGGGCCGATTTGCGGCGCCGATTGCGGCACCGATTTGCTACGGATTTTGTAAAAAAAAAAAAAAAAAATTTATTCAAAATTCTATTTTTTTTATAAAAAATTTAATATTAAAATGAATAATAATTTTTCTAAATTTATGAAATATTTGGTTTTTTTAAACTTATTTTACGAAAAAAAAGTTAAATCTTTTTTTTAAAGCTCGCGCTCGTGCTGCACCGATTTGCGGCGCCGATTGCGGGGCCGATTTGCGGGGCCGATTTGCGGGGCCGATTTGCGGCGCCGATTGCGGCGCCGATTTGCTACGGATTTTGTAAAAAAAAAAAATTTTTATTCGAAATTCTATATTTTTTTATAAAAAATTTAATATTTAAATGAATAATAAGTTTCCTAAATTTATGAAATATAGTTTTTTTAAACTTATTTTACGAAAAAAAAGTTAAATCTTTTTTTTAAAGCTCGCGCTCGTGCGGCACCGATTTGCGGCGCCGATTTGCGGCGCCGATTGCGGGGCCGATTTGCGGGGCCGATTTGCGGCGCCGATTGCGGCACCGATTTGCTACGGATTTTGTAAAAAAAAAATTTTTTTATTCAAAATTCTAAATTTTTTTTATAAAAAATTTAATATTAAAATGAATAATAATTTTCCTAAATTTATGAAATATAGTTTTTTTAAACTTATTTTACGAAAAAGTTAAATCTATTTTTTAAAGCTCGCGCTCGTGCTGCACCGATTTGCGGCGCCGATTTGCGGCGCCGATTGCGGGGCCGATTTGCGGCGCCGATTGCGGCACCGATTTGCTACGGATTTTGTAAAAAAAAAAAAAAAAAATTTATTCAAAATTCTATTTTTTTTATAAAAAATTTAATATTAAAATGAATAATAATTTTCCTAAATTTATGAAATATAGTTTTTTTAAACTTATTTTACGAAAAAAAGTTAAATCTTTTTTTTAAAGCTCGCGCTCGTGCTGCACCGATTTGCGGCGCCGATTTGCGGCGCCGATTGCGGGGCCAATTTGCGGGGCCGATTTGCGGCGCCGATTGCGGCACCGATTTGCGGCGCCGGTTTGCGGCGCCGATTTGCTACGGATTTTGGAAAAAAAAAAAAATATTCGAAATTCCATATTTTTTCTTTATAAAAAATTTAATATTTAAATGAATAATAAGTTTCCTAAATTTATGAAATATAGTTTTTTTAAACTTATTTTAAGAAAAAAAAGTTAAATATTTTTTTTAAAGCTCGCGCTCGCGCTGCACCGATTTGCGGCGCCGATTTGCGGCACCGATTGCGGGGCCGATTTGCGGCGCCGATTGCGGCACCGATTTGCGGCGCCGATTGCGGCACCGATTTGCTACGGATTTTGTAAAAAAAAAAAATTTTTATTTAAAATTCTATTTTTTTTATAAAAAATTTAATATTAAAATGAATAATAATTTTCCTAAATTTATGAAATATAGTTTTTTTAAGCTTATTTTACGAAAAAAAGTTAAATCTTTTTTTTAAAGCTCGCGCTCGTGCTGCACCGATTTGCGGCGCCGATTTGCGGCGCCGATTGCGGGGCCAATTTGCGGGGCTGATTTGCGGCGCCGATTGCGGCGCCGATTTCGGCGCCGATTGCGGCGCCGATTGCGGCACCGATTTGCGGCGCCGATTGCGGCACCGATTTGCTACGGATTTTGTAAAAAAAAAATTTTTTTATTCAAAATTCTATATTTTTTTTATAAAAAATATAATATTAAAATGAATAATAATTTTCCTAAATTTATGAAATATAGTTTTTTTAAACTTATTTTACGAAAAAAAGTTAAATCTTTTTTTTAAAGCTCGCGCTCGTGCTGCACCGATTTGCGGCGCCGATTTGCGGCGCCGATTGCGGGGCCAATTTGCGGCGCCGATTGCGGCACCGATTTGCGGCGCCGATTGCGGCACCGATTTGCTACGGATTTTGTAAAAAAAAAAAATTTTTTATTCAAAATTCAATTTTTTTTATAAAAAATTTAATATTAAAATGAATAATAATTTTCCTAAATTTATGAAATATAGTTTTTTCAAACTTATTTTACAAAAAAAAAAGTTCAATCTTTGTTTTAAAGCTCGCGCTCGTGCTGCACCGATTTGCGGCGCCGGTTTGCGGCGCCGATTGCGGGGCCGATTTGCGGGGCCGATTGCGGGGCCGGTTTTCGGCGCCGATGGCGACGCCGATTGCGGCGCCGATTGCGACGCCGATTGCGGCGCCGATATCGGCGCCGATTTGCTACGGATTTTGTAAAAAAAAATAATGTATTCAAAATTCTATTTTTGTTTATAAAAAATTTAATATAAAAATGAATAATCAGTTTCCTAAATTTATGAAATATAGTTTTTTAACTTATTTTACAAAAAAAATTAATTCTTTTTTAACGCTCGCGCTGCACCGATTTGCGGCGCCGATTTGTTACGGATTTTGTTAAAAAAAACTCAAAACTTAATTTATTCAAATTTCTATATTTTTTTTTATAAAAAATTTGATATTAAAATGAATAATATCGACTTAAATTTGTTATAAGGGTTTTTTTAAACTTATTTTCAGAATAATTATTTAAATCTTTTTTTTTAAAGCCCGCGCTCGTGCTGCACCGATTTGCGGCGCCGATTTGCGGCGCCGATTACGGCGCCGATTTGCGGTGCCGATTTGCTACGGATTTTGTTAAAAAAAAACTCAAAAATTTTTACATTCAAATTTCTATATTTTTTTATAACAAATTTAATATTTAAAATTAATAATAAGTTTCCAAAATATATGAAATATAGTTTTTTCAAACTTTTTTTACGAAAAAAAATATTTTTGCAAATCATTTATAAAAACTAAATTTTAAATATGTTTTAAAAATTGTACATTGACCCTGCGTATAAAAAAGCTAAACGTGTCGGACAGTTAAATAATTTTTTAATCAAATCTGTGAACTGAAATGAGTTTTTCAGATTTCATTAAGTAAATTATTTAATATATTAGCATTTTCATATTTTTTGTTCCTATTTATGGACTCTTTTTACTAAAAAAAATCTACGAAACCAGAATTTTCATTTTTTAAATTAACAAGAAAAAAGAAAAAAAAATAATTAAACAGCAAATATCAGCTTAAATTTTTTCCCGTATAAGTATCCGGAAAAATATCCAAATGAAGATTTTATGGATTTTTAATCTATTGAACAAAACAAGTATAGAAGGAAGTTTTTTAACATTGGAAATACCAATTTTTTACATAAACTTTATTCAAGGATTAACAGATGTTACAAATTAAATTAGTTCCACTATTTTAGGCAAAAAATAGCATTGGAATTTTATTAATAATCTGCTTACATTCCGTGGAGAAATCAGCAAAAAATTGCACAATATTTTCTTCCAAAAAAGGTTGAATGTATTGAAAAAATGCTACCTAAAAAAAGTCGAGCCGGTTGCATACCCTACGATTATAAGGCGCTCAGCCAAAGTCTGTTCATAATGCGTCGACCATCAGTTTTCTGATTGAACTGCCTGGAAAATAGCAGCAAACATTTACATGTGCATACTTTGGCTCGGCCGCAGACGAGGAAAGTTGATCCATTGACAAAGTTTCCGAAGCGAATTTTGCAACGACCGCTCGCTCGCACGTGCCTGGCCTCGGTGTGTCCGGCCAGCAGCTATAGCCAGTCATTTTTACAGTTTCGGCCGTGTTTTGCAGGGCGACGACGGGGTGATGGCGTTATTAGATTCCCTGCTGGCGAGTCAACACAATCAAGAGGTGCGAAACGAAAGGTCGTCGTCGGAGGGCATCACAAATTCGGAGGCGACGGCCAGCAGCAGCACCTCCACTGTCGCCACAGCCTGCCGAATACGTGAAATCATCACACCGTAAGTGCATGACGAGAATTCTCGTCTTCTTTATTTGTTAAGGTTCATTTAAACAAAAATAATTCAATTCAACTACTGGTAAATGATTTAAATGATTTATGGAGCGATAATAATATTTTCAATTTTTCTATTTTGTATGATTTATGCGTGATCATTGATCATTCAAATTAAAATTGAATTACAATGATCTAATTGTAAGTTGAAGACTAAAAAAAGTCAACAGAATTTAATGCAGTTAAAAAATGAAGTTTTTTATTGTGATTTTTTTAATTTTCAATTAAATTGATTAATTAAAATTAAAACTGATTGAAATAATAGAGGTAATTTTTTGGCCACCATAATGTGTGTGGTTTTAAGAGATTGACACGTGGGTCAGGGCACGGGTGGAGTATCAGAAATCGATGTAAACAATTCGGATTTATGGGGCCGAGGTTAATTGCTCTAGCACGAATTTCTGGCCGAGTTTGCAAAAGCGGAAATTACTCTTTTTGTGGAAAGTTGAGGCCAATCAAACGGGCAGACATGCAAAGCAATCTCGAGTAGCTCTCATGACGCGTGCAACGAGAGAGGGAGGTGTCATTTTTTATTACACCTTTGGCATGCGGATTCCGTTCAGGGAAAATAAAAACTAAAATAATTTCCTTATCTGCTCAAAATTTGCTAATTACAAGAAGAGAATTAAAACTTTCTTATCTGTACAAAAACTTCCAAAGGAAAAACTTTGCAGAAATTTACATTTTTATTTTCTTTTTTGATGAGCCTTGCACCGCCGCACTTTGGCCAGATAGCAAAATCGGCATCACCTGCTTTTCACACATTTAACGACACGCCGAATGGCAGCAGGTCAGCCAAGGCCGTGCGAGCCCGCGTGAGCACCATTGTGTGGTGAACACCCCCGGCTCGTTTCTGATGCGAACCCTCAACAATCGATACCTCGCCACTTCATTGTTGCGTGATAAAAAGTGGGCGATTCATTTGTGATGAGGATAAAGTGTTGGGGCGGGGAAAGGGCGAATTCATTTTCATGTTTGTAATGCCTCGTGGCACATTAAAAGTGTGCCAAAGCGCAGCTCAAAACTTGCGCCGGTCTTTTATTCCCGTGATATTTCAGCGAAGCAGCTCGGTTAGTGTTGGAAAACGGCAGTCTTGTTCTTTTGTTGTGCACAACGAGGCGTTCAAATTTTGATCCACACAGGACAAGTCACACTGGCAAATTTGCACAAACAACAAAGGAAAGATCAATCAGGTAATTTTGGGTGAAAGCTTCCTAGATCCATTATCATTTGTAACAAGCAATTTTTCGACATAAAATCCAATTAAACCACAAATAAGGATAACGTAATATTTTGAAACGTTTCCCTTTATTTCATATTCTAGAATTCAAATATCAAGGCGATTAGTTTGGCTGGTGCAGGCTGCACTCTTCTTATATAATAGAAATTTTGGTTAAACCATCATGCTTAAGTTTCAAAAACAGTCAAGTAAAATCAAATCTCAGTGATTAATTCTAGTAATTCAATAGTCATTAATCACATTTTGCTTGCATAAAATTTAGGAGAAGTTTCTAATAAGTGGTGTTAATGTTTACCATTTTTGAACTATTTTTCCACATCTACATTGTACAACTATTTTTCAACATATATGCCGAGTACATTCGGCTGGTGTTGAAAAATAGTTCTTCAATCGGCTGATGTTGAAAAATGGTTTTACATTTTTTGGTTGATGTAGGAACATAGACTTTATATTAACTTCTCAATATTAATATATTAATTAACATATTTTTATTGTTTTGCCTCTTACTCAGTGAAATTGCCAAATCTGCCAAATCATATAGCTTTATTAATTTATTAAAAAAATATTCTTATAATACTTAAAATTGAGTATTGAAAATACGTTTGATTTATATTAAAATAAATTTTTATTCTTTTGCTTTCAATTTAAAAAAAAAACGTCAATCTAAAGAGGACAATAATTTCTTAATGGAATTCCATTCTTACAATTGATGATATTAGAATAATGTTTTACTTCAATTTTGGAACAATTTTTTCCATTTAAAATACATTGCAAAACCTTCAAATAATCATTTTCTTCATCTTATAAACCACTCACAAACGTGTTTAAAAGATAAAAAACCTTTGAACACTTGCAATGAGTGTTTAATTTACATCTATTATACACTCTGATTTAAAATTTACCAACCGAAAATCGACCTTACTCTCGGCGGCGATTTGGGCCATGCTTTTGATCGAGCCAGAGTCGCTTTTTTACTCTCTTTCTTCTTTTGAGGCGGGCGCGCGAGGCGTGATTTTTTTGCATTCAGCTGATGTGTTTGTGGTTGGTTATGTTTATGCGAGCGGCCGTGGATATTGTGTGTGCGCGGGCTGGAAACACCGCCTGCATAAAGGTACAAAACGAACCAAGCTCCGAGCGCAGGCCATCGAGAGAGCTCTCAGGCATATCACGTAGCCGGCCGTGCTCCGGAATATCCACACACACGAAATCAGCTACATGATATATTAGCATAATAAAAAGTGCGAGAGCCAAAAACCACCCCGGCAGCCAGCGCAGCACCCCAGTTTGCTCTCTCGCGCGGGGTGCAAAGTATCTGTGCCCGTCTTGCAGTCCAACCAGACTTTCATACACATTATTTTTAAGCTCGGCGGTATTTATTTATCGGCCATAAATCAGGGCGCTTTCTTGCCTTTTAGAATTAATACGCTGCTGCTTATTGTGTGCGGCACCCAGCAGCTGATCTATATATAAGGCTCTATATGTAAACATAAATATGGACCACCACGTAGAATATAATCGCAGATGCATCACATAATCCTAAAATTCAAACGTTATATTTTATTATATTAATTTAATTTAACCGGTTTTTACATCCAATTTCTCTTCTAAATTCATATTATAATTATTTGTTTGAACAATTTTTTTCTTTCATTTTTGTGCTTTTTATTGAGCAATTTTTATTAAAATTGGCATTGCAAAGTTACTAAATAAAATGCAAATACTTAAATATTTATTGAAGACTGAATGCATGTTCAAGTGTGATATTCCTTATTGGGTGATTTAGAAACAACGTCACTTTGCAGCATTATTAATTAATTAAGAAAAGGTCACGACTTGAACTGAAATTATTGTAATAACACACCAAAGGAGGCGTAGCTTTCAACACGCATCTCGCTCGGGGTTTATATAAGAAAACCCCCTCGATAGCAAATTGTCCATTCTCACGGTGCAATGGCTCCGATCGAGTTCTTGGGTCCGGTCTTGTGGATGCTCGCGTTCTGCACTTTCTGGTATTGGGACAAGTACGATTCGATCGGCTCATTGCTCTACTATTACTACCAAACGCTGGTGCAAGCCTTCGCTGTCATATTCTGGACCATGGCCATCTTTGTAGTGGTCTTTCGATTTGATGAAGTCGGGCCTTTCCTTGTGAAAGGTCCGATCATATTTGGCATTTGCGTCATGTACATTCTCAACTCGCTGGTCCTGTTCAAAAATGCGACGCGATTGCAACGGGTTTTGGAAACGCCGGCGCCATACACCCCATTGCAGCTCGACTGGCACTTCCGCAAGTACGAGAGAAGAGCAAAAAATCATCTTATCGTTTTTGGTGAGAATTTCATAAATTAAACCAGTATATTATTATTATTGTTTATAATAAAATTAATTCAATGTAATTTCAGCATGCGTTACATTAATGGTGGCGTCACTAAGCTTTGTCATGATAAATTTTCTGATACCGAAGAATGATCCAATCGTTGATGCTTCAGACAGATTTGTGGAGAAATTCACCAAATTGATGCCAATTGGATTTTTGTCTATTGTTTGGAAATTAGGCTGGCCACTGGTGCCCGTTTGCATTTTGGCACTCTACACAACAAATTTCTCGACCTTTATATATTTGACGCAGCACCTGCTGGCCTGGCTTGGCCACATGAAGTACGCAGTACAGCACATCCACATAAGGACACGGAGACACGTGGCACGCCAACATTGGCCCAGTGACACAGAGCAAGCAGCTAATAAAAAATTTTATTATTAAATCGATATATTTTAATGATCTTCATTTTCTAGATTTTTGACGTGAAATACATAGTTGAGACTCACAATTACATTATCAAGTAAATTCTGCCTTCTTATTTTAGTAAAAAAAAACTAACTATTAATTTTGGATTTGAAATTAGAAAGAAATAAATTTTGGGGAGATATTTTAAAAAAGCTTTGAAACAGCGTTTTCTAACATTTTGATTCTTCTAGAAAGTATTTTATTCCTTACAAATGAACCTGAATTCTGTTACAAAAATACACCTTTTTAATATATATTTTAACATAGGCTTGCGGAAGACATTTCGACCTTTGCAAGCTTTTACGTTTTCTCCAACTTCATCCTGTGCATGCTTGCCACGTCAAATCTTCAGGCCAAAGTGATCAATTACGTATGTGTTTTTTATTTTCATTTCGTGCTCCTTAATTTTTCAATAATTCACAGAACGCCGACATCAAAGTCTTGCCAGCTATTATTATTTTTGGAGGTTATATTTTGATGCAATGCATTTTAAGTTATTATGGGTCGCTAGTGATTGACAAGGTATTATAACAAAATCAAAATTTTATCTCACTCAATCTGTGTTTTAGAATGTGCAAGTCTTACGTGCGATTCAATACGAGTTGATGATGCCAAAGCACCCAAGGGAGAAAAAACATCCGGACTGGAAAAGTATGAGTGTCGTCGCCGCTCGAGCTAATATTGGACTTGACTTGAATCTAAAGTTCCTCATTTTCAACTTCAAGCTTAGTACGTCATCTTTAAAACGGGTAATTTTATATCAAAATAACATAGCAGTATTTTTAGTGGTCCTATTTGTTTGTTTCAGGTTTTTGGTTTGGGATTTTTGGTTTTTGAATTGATCAAAATAATATTTCCATTTAACAAAAAATAGTCATAATACAAAAATTGAAGATAAGTTTTAATTAAATTTAAATTGAAT